ACTAAATTAATTTTCCCCAAGTCGAGTCTGTATTGCTAGTGACAGTAACTGGTGAGTGATCTCTCCCTGTCTTGATCTTGACCCATGAGCCTTTCGTTATATTTTCTCTCCCCTGCCCAGCTGAGGAAGGGGGTGATAGAGCACCTTAGGTGGGCACCTGGTGTCCAGCCAGGGTCAACCCCCTACAAGTAGATTTTTTTTTTTTTTGTTACTTCCTTGCCCCTTCTGAAACAAGTTTATCTATTCAATTTTGGGTAACTGGATGAACACAGTCTGGCTGCTTGTTACTCCCTAAATTCTTCCAGTAAAAGTTAAATCCAGTTGAAGCTATGAGCTAAGACCAATTTGGATGCTGGTTATATTTCAAACAGTTACCGCTTTATTGTACTAGGATTAAGGCTCAACATTCCTGAAGTTAGCCAAAGCAGTTCAACATATCTGGTAATAGTTAAGCAGCTTGAGTAGGTATGACAGTAATAGTCCAGCAGTAATCTAAAAGAGATCTTCTCCACTGAGTCTCTGAATTGCCTTCTCAAAACCTAGGGATTTCCTTAGATAACTGATATGTTGCTGATACGCACGCTCCTCTGAAAGTCCTACAAGGTCACCCTTGTCTGGAGGAGCCAATACATAGCCTCAAATATATTTGACCTTGGGAACTCCTGCCAGCTGCTACCATTTATTCTCACTGCAGCTTTGACTTTTGCCTCTCTTGGTTTCCATCTATTCTATAGTCATGCCCTTTACTGGAATGTGGTATCTTTTGGTAACTCCTGGCAGAACAGGACTAGTTTCCTTATGTTAATCTACTTCAGTTGCCCAATATAGTAGTGCCATGCTCCTAGGACTCTCACAGATGCTCCAAAAAGGTTGTGGATTTTGGTTTTTTTTTAGCCAAAGCAGGAAGAAAGAGGAGTCAAGGCTCTCCCACCCCCTTTCAGGGGGAAAGGAGCCTTTCTTATGAGAACCTGTTACAAGGGAATACCTTCCCTGGTTTCAGCAGTTCCTTGCAAACAGAGCTGTTATGAAGGATAGACCATATAGTTGATCGAGTTTGGTCTAACCGTGTAGGAGACCTACTCTCCTTCCTGCTGTGAAAAACGTCATGTACCAAACCAATTTCAGACCACAATACCAGATTGCTCCACATCCACCAAATACAGATAGCTAGGTTTCAGAGAGAAAGGATTAACAGACTTCCCGCCCCCTCCAGCCAGGAAGGTTTGGGCTCTCTGCTGAAGTTCTTAAGCTCTAACTTCACAATCCAGTCCAGCCCATCCCTTTAAGCATCAATTAGCTTTCTGTGAAGCAGGATCCAAAGCAGTTCAAAATAAACCCTCTCCCCCCCCAAAACAGAGACATTTTCAGAGTAAGAGAAGATACCCTGTCTCGATAGAGGTCTATGTATCAGCTGTCTTGATCCTGTCAAATTAGGATTTGGAGGAGAAAACTGCATGAGTTCAGAAGTGCTCCTGGTCTAACTCATAGGAAGGGATGCTACAACGCCTGGTGTCTCTTGTTCCCCCTAGCAGCTCACAGCTCTAGACACCACACTTTGCTCTCAAAGCTCAATCTTCCACCTCTTCAGAGGTGAGCACTCCCATGCAACCACGTGCAAGAAGACTAAAGGCAGCCGCTCCAGTTTCAGGCTCCTCCACACTTTCTTCTGTACATCCCAAGCCTCCAAAGGAAGCATGCCAGAGAGCCTGAAAGATGGTCACATGCTGCAGGCACCCATCTCAGAAGTGATATATGATCTCCCAAACTTCTGAGGCCAGGCAAATTTACCAAGTGTATTAAGTAAGAGGCATGAAGGAGGAATTGTGTTCAAGCACCTGTTTAACAACCTGCATCTGACTCCAGAGGGACAGAATTTACAGTGACCCATGACTGCTAGTCTGAGGGATCCTCCTGAAAGGAAGTCCTGGTAAGAAGACCTTTGACAGCAAGAATGAATACAACTTCTGAATTTTTGAAGAATTTGCACAGGACTGTACAGACTTTTGAATATTTGACATGCAATTGTGATTTCCATTTCCCTGAAAAGCTACAAAGTTTGCTATACAAATTTCAGCTGGCAGCATAATTTAATACAGTCTAAGACCAAGGAACAGACACAAATACACAGCAGTCAATAGGACTTTGTTAGTACAGCAACATGCGAGACATGCCAAGCATCATATGAAGCTTGTAGCTTCTTTGCATAAATATAGCCTTTATCAGTAAGATATTCTGCCAGATATGAATTGCTACACTGTTACACACTGAGAACACATGCCAAAAGAAAAAGGGTACAGGCAATAGTTTTGCCTAATCCAGAAGCATTAAGTAGTTTAAAATAAAGGGGGGGGGGAGGGGGAGATCAGATGCTTTTAACTTATTTTTTACACTTTAGTTTCCTTGGGTATGCGTTTGAAACTCTCCAGCAGTACAGAGAAGATACTGAGAAATTTCATGCTTTCATTATGCCCAATTTTGACAGAGTTAATGCAAGTCTTAGCCAGAAACAAAAGTACTGATAAACTAACTCCAAGTGTTATCTGTAAAAAAAAAAAAAAAACCTCCAAGTTTTTCTTCCAGGGAAAATCCATCTTTACTCAAGTACCTCACAGAATTGCTGACAACTGACATCTGACAAAAGCTATTTGTTTTGCTTTTGGGGATGGGGGAGAGGGAAAGAAAGGCTGCTTTCAACAGGTCCTGTCCTACCTATAGGATTGCCCTTTTGATTGTGCTGATGTTATCAAGGAGGCCAAGGATGTGATACACTAAGTTAAATGAGACAATGTAAGCTTTTCTTCTGCATAAGGACTCATTCATTTAAAACAAGCCTGACAATGTCCTTTTGACCTTATCATATGTCTGTATTTTCAAAAGAGCAAAAGCTTTGACAATGTTGAGACCTATAGAAAAAAAACACAGAAGGAACAGGGAGGAAAGACCAAAACACAGAGAGGAAAAAGACATACCCCCCCGCCCCAGTCCACAGCTGTTACCCATTACTTCAAGCCCAAACTAGGAAGGTCTTGCAGCTCAGATAAGCAAGGTGTCAAATCAATAACAAAAGTATTCTTAACAGCCACAGGAACAAATTCAAATACTAGAACGTATTGAGGAGGCATTTTAAAGAAAAGTTAGTTATAGCAACCAAGAACAAGATGCTATTTAACATATAATTAATCAGTTTCTTTCTGTGATAGGAAACCAACAAGTGTAAATGTGTGCAGGTTGCATTGGGTCAGATGGTGCAAATTTACTACAGCTGTATCGCAGTAGTATATGACAGCCTCACACTCTTCTGGAGGTTTTTTTTGTCTGCTTGTTTGTTTTCCATGGACCCACGAAATTATTAACCCCCACATTAGAGAAACCCAGCCTTGCCTAGCACCTTAAAACATGAGGTTTGTCCCCTTATACCAACTCACTCCTCTCCAAAGGCAATGACCTCCTATTTAAGGTAACTGCAGCAGATCACAAACCCTCTTCCACCCGCTATAAGTTTTAGTTGTCACTAACCATTCTGCTATGTCCAGTGAGAGCAGCCCTGAGGAGAAGGACTTAGAGGTGCTGACTGATGAGAAGCTGGACATGAGCCAGCAATGTGCGCTCGGCAGCCCAGGCAGCCAACTGTATCCTGGGCTGCATCCAAAAGCACCGTGGCCAGCAGGTCGAGGGAGAGGATTCTGCCCCTCTACTCCGCTCAAGTGAGACCCCCCCAACCTGGAGTTCTACGTCCAGTTCTGGAGCTCTCAGCACAGGAAAGACATGGACCTGTTGGAGCAAATCCAAAGGAGGCCATAAAATGCTCAGAGGGACAGAACACCTCTCCTATGAGGACAGGCTGAGAGAATTGGGCTTGTTCAGCCTGGAGAATCACAGAATCATTAAGGTCAGAAAGGACCTTCAAGATCATCAAGTCCAACCGTTAACCCAACGCCACCATGCTCACTAAACCATGTCCTGAAGCGCCACATCCACACCTTTTTTGAACACTTCCAGAGATGGTGACTCCACCACCTCCCTGGGCAGCCTGTTCCAATGCTTGACCACTCTCTCTGTAAAGAAATTTTTCCTAATATCTAGTCTAAACCTCCCTTAGTGCAACTTGAGGCCATTTCTTCTCGTCCTATCACTAGTTAGTTGGGAGAAGAGACCAACACCCTCGTCACCACAACCCCCTTTCAGGTAGTTGTAGAGAGTGGTAAGGTCTGCCCTCAGCCTCCTCTTCTCCAGACTGAACAACCCCAGTTCCCTCAGCTGCTCCTTGTAAGACTCCTCCAGACCCCTCACCAGCTTTGTTGCCCTTCTTTGGACATACTCCAGCACCTCAACGTCCTTGTTGTAGTGAGGGGCCCAAAACTGAACACGTTATTCAAGGTGTGGCCTCACCAGTGCCGCACTGGTGAGTGAAGAGAAGGTAAGGCTCGGGAAAGGCCTTATTGCAGCCTTCTAGTATTTAAAGGGGGCCTACAAGAAAACTTTTTACAAGGCTATGTAGTGACAGGACAAGAGCTAATGGTTTTAAAAACTGAAAGAGGATAAATTTACATTAGATATAAGGAAGAAATTCTTCACTATGAGGGTGGTGAGGCACTGGAACAGGTTGCCCAGAGAAGTTGAGGAGGCCCTTTCCCTGGAAGTGTTCAAGGCCAGACTGAATGGAGCTTTAAGCAACCTGGTCTAGTGGAAGGTGTCCCAGCCCATGGCAGGGGGGGTGGAACTAGATGATCTTTAAGGTCCTTTCCAACCCAAACCATTCTATGATTCATTCTAAGCTTAACTTTCAGTTCTTCACTTTCTCCTTCCTTTTACAGTTGCATGGAAAAACTTGTACACATAAACCTGAATGCAGACAGCCATTTTGTTTCCAACCATCTACACAAAGTATCTGCGAAGTACACACAAACATTTTAGCTTCCTTTATTAAGTGAAACTATGAGTCATTCCATTACATTGCTATTCGAATAATCTTAAATCCATTACCTGATTTTCTTTAGCAGAAGATTCCAAGAAAGCTGCATTCCAGGATTCTGCTAAAGCTTTCCCTTCTTCATAGCTGATCACCCTGACCAAAGAGAAAAAGTATGTTTCCTTATAACTTGAAAAAGAATTGGAATTTCATACTTCAGGAAAGTCCTCAGAGTTCTGAAACACATAAATGCATGTAATAGGAATGTCTTCTGAAGTCTGATCCCAGCATTTGCTTTTGGCTGCTGTCAAATACACTACTGGGCCAGGTAAAACTGCTGTGCGACTCAAAGAGCAGTATCCCAAAGTATTGCTTTGTTTTCATAATCTGTAATATCATCCGGTATTTTACAGTTGTGAAAAATACACTTCTGTTACTTGTTTTGAAAAAAACAAAAAGTGTTGAATGGCCTTCCCTGGAACCTTATAGCAAAAGTCAGTATTACAACAAAAGTTCACGGCTCCTAGTTCACATTCTGGACACAATTCCTTTGCCAGTACCTTATTTTAACCTACAACTTGATTTTAGTTACAGAAAGCCAAGAAAACTAGCGCACTGCAGCCACAGACTGCTGTCTTGTATTTCGCACATACTGGAGTTCACATACCGTTCCATATGCAGGTCTTTTTTATTTCCAACCAGCATAATGGGTATTCTGTGAAAGAAAGTTCAGAACTTCAGAACAGTTATAGTATACTGAACAAAGTACTAGTAACATGCCTGCAATGAAATGAGATGAAAGTGTCACTACTTACTGGACTTTTCCCACCATATCCAATAACTTGCCATGGATAACTTTTATCACTTCAAAACTGCAAAATAAAGGGATGAAGTCACACATGCACTCCAATGTTTATCCTTAATACCCAATACACAAGCAATTAAATGCATATGTAGGTTGCTGTGTTTAAAACTTACTCTATGTACAATGGCAGAACTACAAAGATGCTGCAAGCTTTGCCCATTTGTGTACAACAGACAAAATGGTCCCAGAAGCAGCAAAGACTAGTCTATGCCTGTTGTTAGAGCCTCCCCAGCTAGGATACTTACAGAAATAAGTAACATTACCCAGGACTGATGCATCTAACATAGGATCACTAAAAGCACCTCCCACCTCCCATCTGGTTTGTATCTGCAGCAAGATATTTAACTGCTGGAGTCCAACAACTCTGGATGAGCATGTCAAATTAAAACAGTTTCAAAGAAAAAGTAATTAGTTAAGCATACTCCATTTCCAGTGTACATTATTTTTTAAATTAACACACAGCTCATACAGAATTCTTTAGTTTTATTTATGTGAAAGCCAAAAGAAGACTAAATTCTTCTAAATTTCCTATGGAAAGTGAGTAAATTGATCTGCAAGATGGTATAGAAACAGTGGTTATTCGAACATTTCTTGTCTGTTCACCTACCATGTACGTAAAGTTTGCGTGCTGAGAGGTAAGAAGCAGTACTGTGAAATGCCAAGAAGCCAAAAACCTCACTAACAAAATCCACTGCATTTGACATTTAGTACTTTTGAGGACAAGCTGTAAGTGGGGTTGAAGAGCAGATGTTGTGCTCCTCTAATTACATTATGGAAAAAATGCTGGTACATGAAGTGCACAATTCAGATTTGTTTCAAGAGAGGGGCACAGGCCACACAGATGAGGCACACAACTACGCACCAAAAAAGTGACTGAAACTTTTCCAGCTTCCAAGGCTGTTAGCTACAGGCAGTGTCTTGACATGCACTGCATTTCAATTAGAATTTAAAACTCTTAGAGCAACACTCAAACACACTTCCAACTCGGAGCTCTCAAAGAACTGGTGCCTAAAAACACTATTCAAGCTATCTGAATCATTAAAGCTTCTCACTTCTGGAACAAAAAACTGCTACAATATTTAGAAGGAATTTCTGTCAAGTAGGTTGATTTGTCTGACTTCAGCAATAGTTTTCAAGACTGGGTAGAACACAATGCTTCTCCACGTTCAGCGAAGAGTTTTAGTACATCCTATCTCAAAAATGAGTTCTTTGCAAACAAAAGCGTTGACTTAGTCTGGCACAACTTAATATTAGTAACTTAAGTATGATACTACAGATTCCACATTTTTATGTAACCAGTGAAAGGACTTTAGGGTTACAAAGAGCTTATGCTGAAAAGATATTAGTGAAATTCAGGTCTTGAGAACTTGTCTTGGACTTTCATTCTTATAATTATTTCAAAAAGAAGAGTTAAATGGAGCTTGGTTGTGATGAAGTTGAGAGGTGTTGCTACATACAGAACTAGATGACCCTGCGAACTGAAAGAGGAATAAAAATACTACAAAAAATTCTGCTACAGACCACAAAACTGTTTCTCAGTCTGAAGCAACAGGAAAGACCTAATGTACTAGCCACAGGATAACTGAATCACTAATACAATACAATCACTGTTTCCTTTCCACTGTTAGGCCTGCCGTTCCCAGCACAGCTAGAAAAAGCCATGCCATGGCACAACACCGTGGCGAGCTCTCACCTGAGGTTCCAGTGCAGAACACTAAGTGTTCAACTCAGGCTCTTCGTTTCCCAGCTCTGTGTATCTGCTTATCTAGTATAGTTCACAAGCTCTGTTTTTAGTACAAAGACTAAGAATAAAGAGCTGATCTTTGTTAATAGATCAAGGTGGAAAACAAAAGAGAAGTGCTATTTAAACCCACAGAAACAAGTTGCCAAGAATGAAATTGGCTTGACCAGATCAATTTGACGCTCCAGAAAGCTTTCCAAATTAATAAGGCCAGAAGGAGCAGAGGCAGAGTTTGAGACAGATATTGACCAATCAAAAGAGAACATCATCAAACGAAGTTCGTGAAACAGCATGAGATCTGGAGACCGTAAGACATCCTTTCCAGTTGTGACAAGCAAAATAGGGTTAAGCAAACAGTTCAACGTGCGAAATACGACAAAAAATTACTAGCTGTCAGATAAACGTGTTACACAAAATCATGGAACCTAGCAATATACAAAATTGGAATTTAATTAAGCTGAACTAGAGCAAAAGCCTTCCAGTAACCTTGCTGCTGAGAGCCTGGGAATATGAAAAATGTAGGGTGTCAGCATTTACTCAAGTCCCATTTAAACTTCCCACTGGAGGTTAGCAGAGAAGATGATAATTTTAAAAAAGCATTTCTATGAAGTTTGCTGTTGAAGCTCTCACCCCTGCTGGATCAACACTCAGATCACTATACACACTTTGACTAAGTTAAGACAGATGGTGACTATAATTTGATTACCTGGGCAAGTCATCTAAGCTAGCAGAGTACTGTGGAAGATCTTCCCTATTGCCTAACACTGTCTTGATACAGAACCTGAGGAATTGAACAAGACAGCATCACTAATACTTTGAAATTTAAAGGAAGGAGCAAAAAACTTAGAATAAACAGATTAAGACTAAAATACTGATGGAAATACTATCTACTTACAGTCTTAATATACCTTGTTCTGCTAGTATTTTCACCATAATTTGGTTTCTATTTTAACTGATTTAATGCTACCACAGAAAACAGATTTTCATTTCTCTATTTGGGCTGCTAAGCTCACAACATTATGAGGCAACAACTGCAGTAGCTGAAAAAGAGCATGTCCTTTAGCTGCCAACCAGGGCACAGCACAAGCTGCAGAAGCCTCCAAGGATCTCTGCTGATTATAGTCAAAGACATTTTCTCCTCACAGTGCCACTTACCAATGAACATTTTTCTCTTCGCTTTAGAATTGGAGGATTTTCTACTAAAGGCTGAGAACACTAAGTCGTATTTCATAGAAGTTATTCATCACCAACAATGAAGCTCTGATTAAAAAAAGGAGTTAGGTAGTTTAGTATTTCTAGACACACATGAAAGCCTAACATCTGTTTGCATCTCCACCAGATCACACGTGCTTGCCCTTCACTATTTCAGAACTAAAGATGGAAATCAAGAATGAAGGACTGCCAAAACCTGTTCAACATTGAAGACCTTGCAAGCAACAGAAATTTATAGCCAGACCATATCCTTTCTTTGAGAAGCACAGAAGAGCCAAAAGGCAAGTTGTTTTATCTGTACTTTATGATGGTCTACTAAAGAGCACTTGAGATGACCAGCTTTGCCTGCTTCAGAGGAAGAGACACAGAATGCTTCAGCACTTGTAAAACAGCTGATCAGCTTCCTTGCAAGCAGAAGGGTAGCATAATTTTCACTTCTACTTGGAGAGAAAGGCCTAAGATCTTCATCATTTTACTCAAACAAACAAACAAAAAAAAAAACCCAAAAAAACCCAGGATTATTTTGGCTGTCATAACAAGATGCTGTACAATACTAAAAAATTAAGACCTATTCAACATTGACTCATATTTAAACAAAGCAAGACAAACAGATGGAAAGGACAAAATAATGGAAGATGACAAAACCTTATGAAGGCTGAGATGCTTCTTGCAAGTAAATGACTCCACCTGCGATGGACTCTGTCCTCATTTCAGAATGGACTACAGCCAACAGTGAGGATGAAATACGTACTCTGGGAAATTTTTCAAATAACGTATTTGCTGCAGCATGGCAAGAGTGAGTCTACAGGCCAGAAGTCATATATTGATATATTGCTATTTACATGAAAGTTTCTGATGGTTAATCACAACAATCCAAGACAAGAAGTGAAAGAAATCCGAGTACTGCAGCGAGCTACAAGGCTGAGGGACCAATCTAGAAACTAATTGGGTACTTCACATAAACAAGCGGTGCCCTTTCGGTCCATATTTAAGTCCACCTTTGTATCTGATGCTAGAGCAATGAACTCCATTTATTCTTGAAATCATTCTATGTACTTTTACTTACACCTCAAAACAATGTAGCTCAGTACCATCTTGTTTCTTACACAGTACCTTGCATATTAGTACAGATACAGAAAAGTATCTGTGACATTTGGATTTGAAGGCAAATTTCTGAAGACCCATTAATTTTTATTTCTACTATACTTCTACAGGAGAGGGGGATTCAATGAATTAAACACATATAAAGAAAACACAGCAAACGCAGGAGCTGAACCCAGAACATATCTGGTTAATATATGAACCAGAAGAACACAACAGATTTTATTACCTTTTTATTGACGTGACTGAATAAACAAGAATGTAGCCATTGATGTCTATGGAGTACGTCTGAGGAAATATGGAGTATTCATCCTGTAGAAGGAATATTGCATTTAAAATTACTTACTGCCACGGTTCAGAACTTGATGCTAGCAGATCACCAGCAGTTAAGGTGGTCTATTTGTAAGACATGAGGTGCAGGACCATTTTGCATAGGTAGTACTTTCAGAATTATGTTTTTTCATCATAATACCAAATGTGGATTCTTTACCAAATTAAGAGAAAGCTGAGTCAGGGTGTACACTCTAAAAATCTATTCTACAGCCTTTTTGGTTTATTCCCTCTAAGACTGAGGGAATCAGCTAAAGCTACCCCCAATCCTCTTACCCTGCTTAATTATCAGTTTACATTAGTACAAGACATCTACTCTGTCCTACCACTAATTAGCAATTACGTCTCTTATCTTGTTAGTGATACAATTCAAATTCCTAATTTCAACAGCTGACAACAGGATCTAGCAGTTCCTAATTTCAAGTGGCACTGATCACATCCAAATTACATAAGGGATCTGTTAGGAAGCAAGTAACTGTGGCTGACCAACTAACTAATGCTTATCAACTGTAGACGCAAGAAATATAGTTAATTAGTTGCTTTACGACAACTAGAAGTTTATATTACATGACAAACATTTAATTAAAAAAAACAAACAAAAACAATCCAGAAATTTAATCACTGAATTTATTCCCTGTGTAGAGAAGGAACTGACCGAATAGGTGAAGGAGACAAACTGACATATTGCAGGAAATGCTATACAAGTACTATGAATCCCATGTTAAGAATCTAAATTGTTCTAATAGATGTTCCCAGGAAACATATACATTTCGACAAGAGACATACTTCCTAATGTATGAGTTCTCAAATTTTTAAACCTATGCTTCTTAAGATGTTAACTTTAGCTTAAGATCACATAACCACTCTGTATACTGCCATGACTGAACAGATGGAGCAGTGCAATTGAATCACACAGCTTAAATCTAGACAGCCAAAAAGGAATCAAACTTCCTTAACTGGCATATGAGAAAAAACCCTTTATAAATCAACTTCCCAAATTCAGCCAAAAAAATTTGAAAGAATAACACTTGACAAAAGATGCTGTTATTTGCCTTTATTGCTACACGCAATCTCCCATCTTCACTGAAATTCCAAACTGCCACTTCACTTGTCTGTGTAATCCTAAAATCAACACAGAAGGGATCTGAGCTAGTCTGCGCGTAAAACAGGTGAAAGTGCAACTCTGTACTTGTTTGACTTTACTCGGAACTTCTCAGGATCGCCCCAGATGGAATTCAGTGTTAGGTAATATTTCCCTTTGCACTCCTCCTCTGTGAGCCTGCAACCAAGACTCCTGTTCAACTGAACTACACAATCTGAATAGATAACCATGAAAGGTAGAGAGGCATGGAACAGAAGAGGAGTACCAAGAAAAGTAAGTGCCCTAACCTCAGCTGTTTCTAATTCATTATTTAATTTTTAGCTTGTTAGGAGAAGGAAGAAAAGCTGCTATGCTTCCTGGAACTTGGCAGTTCTTAACTTGACCCACAAGTGATAAAACAATGTAGCTGTAACTTTTCAAGTCATAGACAAGTTTTCAAGTATGTAACAAATCTACAATATAATCCTCGCTATGCTGTATACATGAGGACTCCCTATGGATCATTAAGCAAGAATGACTTGAGAAAGAAATCTGTTCAAGCCACACCTTCCATAACCCAACATCAACTTTCCCCTCTAACCTTGTGAACCAGCACTCAAAGTCCAAGTCGTTCACAGGAAAAATCAAATCCCACAGGCTGGGAAAGAAGTTATTTTGGTTTTACTATACTGTACAACATTACATCAACCCTAAAAACAAACCTCAGCAGTAGAGCTATCTTGCTGGTGAAGTTACACTGTCTTCCCAGGTGGCCATTACTTCCTCAAAGAGAATTTTATTTTTATCACTATGTTCCAACTGGAGATGTATGGCAAGCACACTTACAGTGGCACCAACTGAAACCTATGGAGCTTGCTCTGCTGCTCACACTTTTCAGCCTACCCATGTCTCAACCTCACTCTCCTCTGCAGAGTATTCCCCATCAAACATCTTGCCCCAGCAGATGTTGCCAGTATTGTGTTTCTAATAACCTGTCAGAGGTGTCTGAAGTGATAAGTGGATATGGTATTGCTGATTACAAGCTGACACCACATAAATACAGCACAGTTATTCTTAAGTCATACAGGCCTCTTCAAAGAAAATGATCAAACATACCTAGAAGGTTACAACCCTTCTGAATAGTCGCACAGCTATGAGCAAACTTTAAAGTCTTAAGTATCGGCAGCATATTTTACAACACTAACATTGTTTAACCCTACTCATAGTTTAGAAAAACCCAAAGGCATAATATCAGAACTCCCAGAAGGTAAGAATACGTAAGCAATAAAAACCTTAGGATAAAAATACAGGGGGGTTAACAGTTGCTGTTCTGTTTTTTCCTAATATAAAGTCTTTCAAAAGACAGAGCACTCCTGTGCACAGAATATGCAATGCAAGTTCAGCCAAGCAGCACTATATAATGAACACCTGTACTTCATGAAGCTACTGACCATGCTACCCAACACATGTTCACTCTCTCCTCCTTGCACTCCTTGTCATTATGTGAAGGCTCAGAAACATGCATGAATCATCACTTACCTAAAAACGTAAACAAACTGCACTAGTTCATTGGTAGCCCACTAAGTACCACCTATACACATTTCTGTCTACTCCCCACAACTATTTCACAGATACCAGTCACGGTGGTGTAGCTGGAGTATACAAGTAAGAAAGCGTCACAAAAAACTTCTCCATGGCTTACTGAAGTGACATTTTCCATCTGAAGCACGACTGCTAGTTTAGTCCATAAATATCAAGCAAGCTACTTATGAACTTTTTGTACATCAGAGTTAAGGCAGTTCCATCTTCACTTTTTTAGGCATACATTCAATTGACAGGAGGAAAAAACCCCAAGCAACAAAGTCTTTAAATAAACACTACAGCAACATTGCTCTTTGGTGACTAAATGGCAAGGCAGAATCACTTAAACTAACCTTCACCTTTGACATACTCCTGCTACCAACTTAGCTCTACAGGAGTATGAATACCTGTTGTCTTAATTCTGAAGATTCAAAGGAAGAAAGAGAACTTACTTGGCCAGCAGTGTCAACCAGCTGAAGATGATATTCTTGGCCATTTACCGTGATCAGTTTTGTAAAAGCTAGAACAAACAAGAAGTACATAAATATGTCAGAATTATACATAAGGAAGGGATCAGAAGTCAGCTATGCCATTGTCTGCCAAAGCACTGCAGAAGAGAACTTTAGTTATAGGCTTTAAAGTAGCAGTAAAAAGCTAGATCAGGTGGCTGTACTCTTAACCAGCGTATTGCAGATAACAAAACTCAGAAATTTAGTTTAAAATTTAAAATTTCAGAAGATTCTCACATTGGATGCAGCAGTTTCTCCTTTACTTACTTAAAAGGAAAGAGTAAAAAGGGTTTTTACATGCATTTCTAAGAGACTTCCAGGCAACTGTAATTTGTGGTAACACAAGATACTTAAATATAATTAGCATCAAAGCTAACTTTGAACTTATAAGACATTTTCCTCAGTTTCCAAGCAGATTAGCAATATCAATTTCCTAAATGTAAATACCATGAGATAAATGATCTGGATTAAAAAAAATCTTTGGGGGCTAAACCACACACAGCCTAACTTACAAATATTCTAAACCTACATAATGAGAATTTAGCTAGAAGCTCACCGTGTTGCTACCAGTCTATCTAGTCCTCAGTCAGAAAGTACATTCAATCCGTGGAAGCGATGAGAATTGCTTCTCTTCCTTGGATTCATGAAATGTCAACACGCTGTGAGCTGAGGAATCTTACTCAATGTTTGTGTTATGCGACTGCAAAAGCAAACAGCATCACAGCTCTTGTAGGAATAATGTACTACTAAGCACTACGTGTACCAACGAGAGCACACAAACCTGGCTTTGTATCTTCACTTTGGCCTTTGCGTTGCACTCAAGACACAATTACTGGACAGTACTGACACATTGAGTAAAGTTTCAGTTGTTCTCTGGTTGAAGTGGTTTTCCCAAACACTAACAAGTCCTAAGAAGCTTCATTTTTTCATTGCAGCAATGAGCCGGGAAATAGCTAATGCTGCAGTGACCTGTTCATCATACTCTAAGTTGTCCAACAGCTTCCCAAAGCTGCAAAGCTGAACATTTTTGATCCTGCTGTGTGGTCTCCTCCCTACACCTTCTGGGTTTTGTACAGGGTCTCCTACAAGCTGAAGTTCACCAATATTCCTCCTCCTTGACAATGCTCGTTGCCCTGTCAAGTCTCCACAATGTGAATATTCTCTTGACAACAGTGGGCTGAAATACCTGAAACTGGCAGTTTCAACCCAGCTAGTAAATCAAAGCACCCTTTTTAAAAAATAGGAGCAATTCAAACAGCAAAGCCAAACTAATGCAGAATGTCTAAATAAACCGTGTAAAGCATACCTACAATTCCCATTACAATACTGACAAGTGCAATTTGAAATAAAGCTCCTACCTTACCCTATCCCCTAAGAAAGCTGCTTTAGCACACATGCACGCCAAGTTTCTCTCAAGTCACTGTCTGGATGCTGTTGTCATCACTGCACAGAATTTTAGGGTTATGAAGCAAGAATCCACAACAGCTCTTTGCCTTGGATGAATACTGTGGTGGGAACAGAAGCAACTGTTTGTTTGAGCAGATGTTAACAAGCAGCGTTGCTATATACAGTATCACTGCTTCAAGTCAGAGGGAAAACAGACTCATCTGGAGACATACTGCATTAACAGGTATATTAAACATAACAGCCTCTCTCTAGTCTCTTGACACTTCACATACACATCAAAGCACTCTGCAATCAAAGTAGCTTCAAGAACGCCATGGAGTTAATATTTAAAGAGAGACAGAGACAGATGGCAGCTTTTTCAAACTATTCTGGAAGGCTAGAATAGACCCATCAAAGACATCATCATCAGTACCGGAAGCAGAGTGTGACAGAGCCAGGGGAAGGGAAACAGTGGAGGAGTCACCACAGACTGGGTGAGGAGAACTGTTCAGTGCCGAGGCTTGCAGCATTGGAACAGCCCACTGCAAGAACACAAATCTGCTTTGATGCAGTCATAATTAATGACTCCCGTTTCTTTGCTGAAGCTTTTAAAAAATATTCCTGGTAAGAATTTAATCTTGGGAAAAACCTGCAGCTGTATTAAATGTGATTAATGATCCACAGGTCCCCTTGATACAGAGGAAGTCTTCACTTCCAATTCCATCGCCTGTCATCCTGGGACACATTGCCTTCTGCTGTGCCTATGAGCAAGACAAACACAACTGATAATACGATCGTGGCACAGTATGGCTCTTCCTGGTATGCCGAGGACAGATTTCAGCAGACCTGAACAATCTCTGCAACGCTAGTCGTAACGTGAGCATCTGCAAAACGCTGCTTATCAACTGAAGTGTGGATAAAGCCTGTTTTAGCTCCACAAAGCACACAGATCTCAGAACAGGACATGCTCACAGCTTACAATACATAACTCGAGTGTAGCTGTATGAAGAAAGCTGCAATCCCCACCTTCACCTACAATTGTTCCTAGTTCTGATGCATTGCTGAATCTTGGGAGAGTTTGGTGCTGCAGTGAACAGCACAGCACCAAACAGATATACGCGTACAGTTGAGGATACAGCAGTCAACAGCTGCATTGCAAAGAAACTAAAGCCACTTTGCCATTAGTGAAAGTTCTGGTAAAATTACTTGCAGAGTGCAGCCCTGAATGATGCTACAGCTCAGCAGAAGTGTAACTTACGCAGCAACTCCATCAGCTGCTGATCATCGTTGCCCTAAGATCAAGTATATTTCAACTAGACTAACATGAATGAAACGATTTGCATATGCAACTCAAATGACAGCTGCTGTGAAAATAAGCCATTGTGCTAAAAAAAAAAAAATCAGTACCAGGCATAGGAATGCAGGCTTTTAGATCAATAGTGCTACTGAGTAACAGTACGAGCATGGTGCAACATGATTCACATAGAGCTACTGGCTGGTAGCTAAATACAACCACCTCAGAAGGCTTCCTCGGTTACCACCTTCTGCATCTCTTTCTACTTGTCTTCATTCCAAAGCCAGTGCCTGTCACTAATCTGCCAGGACATCTTTTACAACACCGAAATGTGTAATGTAACACAGCTATTTTTCATTTTTCTCAGAAGTCTCATCTCAACCCATTGAGAAGGCTGTTCATCAGCAACTCCTGCAAAGAAGCATACTTTACCCTTCCAGTGCACGTGCCATGACATGCATGGAACAAGTTTAGCCTTAAAGATGCTTCTACTAGCAGACCCATCTAATCCTATAGGTATCCCCTCCACAGCTACTAGGGTGCCTCCAGCCCCCTTCCCCTTTCCAATATGCTTCTCCTCACAATTGCATTAAAAAACATGGAGGGAGGCAGGAAGCCCTTGGGGGAAGACTGTTCCCTCTAAAGAGCTTCTGTCCCTCTAAAGAGCTTCTGAGCCTGTTGAGGGGAGAAAGGAAGGCCATGGAGCTGCGGCACAGTGCTAGACACCTCTCCAAAACTGCAAGGAAAAGCAGAAAGCAGCCAGGCAGGCCTCAGAGGAGCTGAAGGAAACATTTTTGAGACTCAGGCAGTCAAGTCCACTTTCCTGCAACACAAAGTCACTGAATTAATGATAAACAAAGACATCTCTGCAAAGATGTGGGTAGAGGGGAGTTACATGCACATCTTCATTATCTATTCCTTCTGACCTATTTGCTTCAAGTTCCAAATTAGGATTCTAGTTTTTGTTCCAGTAAAATTTGAGTTCTAAATTGTTCTGGTCTTAGCTCCTCTGAGCTAATCTGCCTTCAGAGCCCTGTCCAGCTCAGCATCCACACAGACTCCCTCCACACATTCCTGCTCTGCAAGGATCTTCCTTCTCTTTCCAACACTCTGCAAGTAATTGTTCCACTAGTTTCTCAACCTGTCTGAAGAACAGCCAGCCATCATGGCGTCCCTCCTGTTGGGACACTCAGAAAGGGAAATTCTATTTTGCTAAGCAATTAACACTCACCTCCGCTGCTGCCACAAAACGCTACAGGCTACACAACTTTAGCAGAAGCAACTGAATTCAACATGCTTCCTAAATAAACTAACTTTTCTGGTTCTAATGTAATATAAGCAAAGGAAAATGCAGCAGTGAAGCAGTATTGACTAACAAAATTCAATTAAGTGAAATCTGATGCAGCTTATTTTCCCTTTAGCGCTTTCAAAGAAAGCAGAGATTTTTACACTGGAACAATGACACTACTAGAATATTACGTCTTACTCCTACCGTTCAAGGCTTATATGCTATGGAACTTGTTTCTGTAAGAGCTTAACTATAGCTTGCCTTCTATACAATTTAGCTTTAGAATTAATTTTTTGTGCAAGTTTTATTATCTGAAGACAAAAGTTATGAAGATCAAGCTACCAGCAGTACTGTAGTTTTCTACCCTTTCATCAGTACTGGTAGAACACTATAATAAATTGTCAGTAACAATTTTCTGGAGACAAACCAGAAATCACATAAGCCAAACTATTCTTTAACCTATATTTTTTTCACTTCCAAGTTTTGTGACACAAAAGCAGACCCAATCACTAGATGAAACTGAAAAGGTTTTATAACTTGCTATAAAGCACTGGAAAAATGCAACATTCTCCAATACCACCTCTAGTATAGCAACCTGGACTTCTTGATCCCTTTTGCCAGCACTGTCAACCAGATTTGCAATTAGAAGCTAGGAAAACAAGAGTTGATTACATACTTTGTCTCTTACACCCCTGCACATAATCAGAAACATACAGCTGCGAGTGTCAGAAGACTGGACTGATCAAAAGATTTGGATTTAGAAAAAGCATTTTAAAAACATTAAGAACTTAAGTCAAAAGAATGAGTTTATACTAATCCCATCAAAACTAGTTTCACACGTCTGTCTTAAAAATATATACCTTCAATATATTTTCAATTTGAGTGGCAAATTTGAAAGTATTATCTTCTCCATTCTTCACAGGAGCGTTTTTAAAATTCTCTCTATCAGACCCTACAGGGCTTAAGGATGGGACACGCTACCTATGGTTTTGAGCCTCAGGGCACATCTTTTACGCTTTCAATGCTTCCTTTCCCAGCAAGGTGTTCTGATGCAAGGAGGGCCCTTCATTTCCCTGCCTTTCAGAAAGCAAATTCCTCCAGCCATGCCACAGATCGCAAGAATTACACCAAATGAATAACGCTGTTTGTTTTCCAAACAAGTAAGAAATCAAGTGAAAAGTTAAGTCTTTTCAAGACACTCCAGCCCAACAAAGTTTCCATGGCCATGACATGCTCAATGTTTAGAGTTCAGATCAAGTAAGCAGTGCAGACTACAAGAGTCAATTAAGCACAGAATTCGCCTCGAGTGTATTTTCATATAGTTAAGAAACACTACCAGTGCGAGATATCGAACTACAGAGTTACTAGCAGCAATAGCTTTCTGTGGACAAGAGCTTGTGAAGGATGAAACAAGCCAATCTTGTACTAAGGTGTCAAAATCCTAAAACAAGATACAGACTTAGTATTTTGGAGAGACTTTGACCCCGTGTCCCTCAAGCTCTGTTCATTCCCATATACCTGCATAAAACTAAGATTACTTTAAATATTTTGCATTTATATAGCATAGTGAAAAAATAAGCTGTCCCAACAGGTATTAAGATTTAAAATACAGAAACTTATTCCCCAATATTTTGTTAGCAACTTCAATTCAAAACAAGCCTTATTTATAATTCTAACAAAGTAAAAATGGATGATGGGAAGTGTTAATATTACAGACACCTGTATAAGGACTAACGGATCATTCAGGTCAAGAGGCAAATTATCGACCCTGACTTGCTAAAGCAAATTTAGAGCTTCTTCAAGAAGTAGCATTTGAGTTTGATTTCTAAGCAATAAAACAATCCTGAGTAAACTATCTTGATAGCTACCGATGTGTAATTATTACCATATATACCCAAAGGAAACCTTGTTCTGCCGATTACTTCAAAATTCCAAAGTATCAGAGAGCTTAGCATCCTACTGCACAAGTCTGGAACAGTAAAAATGTGTGCTACCATTGCATTTCAGAAGTCATTAAAATACATAAACTCCAGGGTTCCAATCATGAAATCAAAGTTTTATTTGCCACATGATTAAAGCGAGCCAATATGATCAAGTTACTCAGCCTAGCACCACAGCTGCTCGAGTACTTTATGAACACTGCTAGCTCAGAAAGAGGTGGTTGGATTGTAACAAATACCAGGTAATTTGCTTCTGAAGTGACTTGTTGCTCTTGGCAGTGTCTTTAGTATACTAAAAATATATCTTTACTTACCCGCTATGCTAGCTATTCACAAAGGCACCAATATTAAAAAAACTGCTAAGAGAAAAAAAGACACTTGACAAGTCAGTATTTGCAGCAAGCTGGTTGTGTACCAGGCTTGTTATCAAGCAGCTGGAAATGAGTAAATTAAAAGACTATCATGTTATCATGGCCACCCCATGACTATCTTCTAAGAGAGTCACTTGCTCCGACTAGTACTGCTGGCTTTGTGTTTGTCTGGATATACTGATCAAATGAGATGTTTGAGCCTTTGGAACACTTGTATATAGTGGCACATTTTCATGTAGGTATGACATGCTTAATCTGAAGTGCCCTGACTATATTAGGGGAAGCAAATGTCCAACAACATACATATAATACAAGGAGATGCATTTTAGCCAGATTGATTAGGTTTTCCTTCACTTAGTGTTAAAAGACAGTTTAGCTGTTTGAAGAAATATGCACACATTGATTTCCAGGTTGCAATGCTGTAAGCTTGGTACACATTGGTTTAAGAGAGTAGTAAAACTTAACAGTTAATTAATGAGCTTTAATGTTAATATGCAAATGTCCACATAAGTAATATGTATAACCACAGTGGCTTCTAATAAAAGTTAGTTAGGTACAGAAGAGCAGCTTGTCAGTTATTTTACTTACTGTTCTCTATGGTTGGATCATATGAATCAACAAACTGTCCTTCCACAAACTGAATCGTCAGTGAAGATTTTCCTGTCAAGCAAGGAAAAGATTATTTGTATTGAAACAAGTCTTCAGGCTGTTATCACTTTACACTTACTAGCAGATACACTAATTTTTTTTATAAGAGCCAATAGGAGCTTTATATGGTTCATTTCAACATCTATGCATGACAACTGACCTATTTTTTAGATTAAGTGCCTACTCCTAGTAAATGGGTCTCCTGAACATATAAAAAATAGTGCAAGAGCTACTCAGCACATGTCCTGCATAATTTAAGCGCCTCTTCCAGTTTAAAACAAGTCTAAAAGTAGCTGTGTCCAATCCTCATAAAACTAAACTTAAACTGTTACACTTGGAAGGTTTTTCTGTCAGGTAGCAAGGAAAACTGGAAATCATTTTCAGTTACTGCACAGAAAACTAGGAACTTGGATAGAAGTAGCCAAATTTGGTTAGACTAGCAGACTGGACTTCTTTCCAATGACAAAAAGATGATCTCAAAGTTCTTGAGATCAATATACTCCCCCCTTCTATTAATCCTATTAATACCACACCACAACAGACTGGTGGATGCTCTATTTTAAGCATAGCGATTGACGGGGCATCACTGGATTTTTTTTCTTTTGAAAGCAATTTAACTGCTACTTTTGCAGACAACATTCCCAATTTCGGTTACACTGATCTGATCATACACCCCCCAATAAAGAGTAATGCAAAATGTTGCACTTAGTAGCAGATTGAAGAAATGAAAACTAATTTAGTCTTGAAAAATTTTACAAGATGGTAAAAGCGAATCGCATAATTGACCATAAAAAGCACCTTTAAAGCTCCGCAGCTGAAGACTTTTCAAAGCATTACTGAAGCCTTAACACAATTTCTGTTCGCACATCTTCTACATTTGGGAGTCTAATAGATCTAATAGATCCTATTATGTTTACTGGACAAATACTCTTTTATAAAGATTGCCAAGTGCATTAGCTGCTTTTAGACATGAGCATATTCTTCATGCTCCTTTACATTCTTCTCATCAGCAAGAAGCACAAACAAAATACGACCTCATGTTTAAATTTAGACTCAAGATCATCCTACTCAGTGGAAGCCTTTCAATGACATCATAAGTAACCAATGTTGTAGATGAACTAGTTTATAGTAGAACTACTTTCAATAATTAATTGCTTTCAATAGATTGCCCACTTCCAGTACTTAAGACCATGCTATGGTTATACTTTGCTGTAAAGAAAATTCTTTCTTAAGCACTCCTTCAGGTGAGATTAACAGTTTTCTACTTCCAACATCCCCATTTTTGATTCATCATAAAAGGCTCTTGACCTGTTCGCATTTGACTTTTTATTATTACTAGCATACTTAGCAAGTAATTTTATTAAAGACATTCTAAAAAAATTGCAAGTCAGACAAGGTACAAGGATGAATGCGATGCAAGGGAAGTTTGGCTTAGTATTTATGGTTACACGTGCAGTCAATTCCCTCATTAACCGCAGTATTTCCAGGATTTCCTTCTCCAGGAGGAAGGAAGAAAATGTTACACAAGCATCATTATTTGGGATTTTCCAACAGCCATAGCCTTCATCAACTCATTGGTTTATTATAAATTAGCTGCCCAGCTTTGCCATGCTTATCCCTTTTGCTGTCTCCTACCAATCATGCAAGTTTATTCAAGATGCAATGCAAAAAACCCCAGACAAACCCCCAAAACACCAACCAGCACCCAACTTCTAAAAAGTTGCTTTTTCTCAAATTGAATTCTTATATACCATTTTCTGATACATCTAACAGCGCAACTAAATGTGTCATGTGCACTGTGCATGATTTTACAGAGAACATTGCACTTTAAACTGTTGCTCCAGCAAAGAGAGGAGGAGGAAAAAGCAGCCATGCACATCTGAAATCATCCTACTAAGGACAGACTTAAAACTGAGATTATGCATCCCAACAACTTTCTGAAACCGTATTTTGGACACCACTTAAGAGAGTGAATGAACTGTCAAGCTATTTCTTCTTCAGCTATAAGCTTATGAAGTTGCTACCCAGAGTTCACGCTTCCAGATTCTTTGCCAATACCAGCACATTAGGCACTCCATTTTAAAACAAAATTAACTATTCCTATATTAGGCTATTACAACTTCAAGATAATAAGAGCTAAGTTAAGCAATGTTCATCACTGAACATTTTTCCTCCTAAGAAGGATCCTAAACTAACCAAAAGACTTGACTGCTACTTTCTGTCTGTGCCAAGTCTGGAAACCAAATACCAGAAAGAAGTCTGAGCCAACAGAAAATGCTGCATTTGACATCCAGCTGTATTAATTACTGCTTTCCTCCTAACAGTGAAAGAGGAGGAAACAAAACCAGACAAAGCCAGTGTTCCAACACTCTCCTCCTAAATTCCTCCAAGCTTTGTAACAAGCCTTCCAGTAATGATGTGTTTGTGATCACAAGAGGATGCCTGCTTTCCTCAATGAGCCACAGGGAAGCTCTCCAGTCTTGGATTCAGCCACGTATCCCTCAGGATAAGTGCATGCAACAGTATCCCACTAAATGAAGGCTTCCAAAGGGGACACAAGAAATTTAAAACCCAAGTCATTAACACCCCACTGCCTTGTCCCAGCCATGCTCAAGAAGCACGCATGATCATGTAAACAACAGCTTGGCTTGAACTTTGTCCCACAGGTTTTATTCCAGGCCTTTGACCTATGCTCACGGACAGAGAGGAAAATTAAACTGACAATTTAGCTCCCTATCTCCTCTTTCCCCAGAAAGATCAGGCAACGTTTTCAGAGAGAATTACAACATAACCATAACGTCCGTGAGGCACAGGCCAAGGAACTGCATGCAACTGCATTTACTGATGTGCTAACTTCATCTCTGAGCACCGCAGGGAGGAGTATGCAGGGAGATACTGCAGTCTAGATGTGCATAGCACGCACGTTTCAGCCCAAAAAGGATGAGAGAACCTGACACAAGCAGCAAAGACTTGATTAATTGATTACTCAAGGGTGCGTACCACAAAAAAAGCTCAGCTCTAATATGCCCTCATTTGGAACAAATGCCAAATGTTTTTTAGTTTGCTAAGCTTTTCCTTGTAGCATCCTCCACATCAATACTTTGAGTTTATCCACTGTCCTCAAGTTTTAGGAAAATAAACATCTATTAAGACCAAAAGGAGAAGTGTCATAAGCAGAAGCAAGGCAAAGTTTGCTGGAAGCAGTTCACTAGATTGATGGAGACCTGTGATTTTAAGACGAAAGACCATTTTCAAAATCTTACTGGAAAAGGTTATGGTTTAACCTTTTGGTTCTGTTTAGAATCAGAGAGCTTAAAATGACTAGGAAGAAATAAATTAATCAAATAAGAGCAACACTGGGGCAGGGCAACAGGATGACTCCTCCAGCTGTACTTGCTATGGTAACTCAAAGCACCAGCTACTCTGTGGCAGAGGAACTGTAAGAAAAATCCTCCAAGTTTACTGACACTCTCTCTCCCTGGAGGAATAGGACAGAAGGTAAGGGTTGCGAGGAAAGGGTTTTACAAGTCCCAGCTGGCCGAAAGCTCAAATGAAGTTGTCCAGAAGTACCCAGAGGGTATTTGCATACACAATTTGTTATTTATGATATTATGCATGAGTGGTAAAGAAAATTCTTCCACTGTCAAAACAGAAGACGAGCAGGTTTTCAGACAGAAAGCCATTCCAAAAAATAAAGCTGTCCTATTTCTGTTCGTACAATAGACCACTCACTACATAAAGTGGAACATCCCATAAACACTCTGACTAGTGCAGTCATAGCACATCAGTTTCAAATGCCATTGCAATTGTCAAGGCAAAACAATTGCCAAATGGAGTTTTTACTCATCCTTTTACTTCTTGGACAAGAGCTGTGGTATTTAATCTAGCCTTAAAATTCAAGCTTTACAACACTAGGCAGTTTACCAAGATGATGAGTAACTGAGCATGGGTGGGCTCATGAACAGCTGGTCTCCCCGAAGAGGCCATGCTGTCTCTTCGGTGCACCACCACCACCTGCCTGCCGTCCCCTCCCCGCATCCTTCCTCTCCTTGCACTAGGCAGAGGGAAAGCCCAGATGAAATCCTGATCTGCAGCCAACTTCCCCCCCCAAACCCAGAAGATAGAAATGATGCAACTGGCCAGAGAGCGAGTCAAACAACAGCTCCACAAGCAAGGCATTGTGCAAGCTCGATTCTGCAGCTGCCCTCTAACGTGGCATCTCCTCAATGACAGCTACTGGCAGAGCAGTGCCATTTATCTCAACAGGAAGAATTTCTCAATACTCAAAATCATCTGCACAAGTATTCAGTAAACAGTTCGACAGGGTCAAGAACAACAGCTACTGAAGAGTTGCAATTCTCTGATTTGTTAGAATGCTATATGCATAGGTTCTTTAACCCACCTCTTTCTCCCATTAAAACTTTTGCTTATGTACTTAATTATTAAACATTTACAGCTGGCACCACGTAATTCACTCCTACCAGAACCTTTGCATCTTATCTAAGTTAGTCTCTACATAGATCTACTCAGTCTTACCCACAGAACAAAGTAGTTTAGGGTTTGTCACAAAAGGGTTCGTTCAAGAAATTTTGTAATGAAATGCTGTCAGTCATATTAGATAAGACTTCTTGTGTACCCAGTTTTAGTATCCCCCACACAGCTATGCTCAACTTACTGTCCTTCACAGAGATGAAGTTGTCATATTGAAAGTTACACCCTATTTCACTTGAATGTTGGGATCTTTATCTTCTTTCATTCCGAATACCAAGATGCACAAAATGGAGACACCAGGATTTCCACAGTGCAGATTATCCATTTGTCCTCAGAGCACAGAAAGGGACAGAATGACTTCTTGGAGCCTACAGAGGTTTAACTGGATAGCAAAGCTCTGACAAAAATCCTTTCACAAAATAGTAGATGATCTCAGAACCCATCACTAGCTCATCACTTATCTCAGGCTTCATCATTAGCAACTTTCTATGGTTAATTAAGATTTTTCTCCCCAGGTACTA